TGGTCGTGGACGTGGAGGACGTGGACATGGACGTGGACGTGGACGTGGAGATGGACGTGGACGTGGACATGGACGTGGTCGTGGACGTGGACGTGGACGTGGAGGTGGACGTGGAGATGGACGTGGACGTGGACGTGGACGTGGACGTGGTCGTGGACGTGGACGTGGTCATGGACGTGGACGTGGACGCGGACGTGGACGTGGTCGTGGACGTGGACGTGGACGCGGACGTGGACGTGGTCGTGGACGTGGACGTGGACGCGGACGTGGACGTGGACGCGGACGTGGTCGTGGACGCGGACGTGGACGCGGACGCGGACGTGGACGCGGACGTGGACGTGGACGTGGACGTGGACGTGGACGTGGACATGGACGTGGACGTGGACGTGGACGTGGACGTGGACGTGGACGTGGACGTGGTCGTGGACGTGGACGTGGACGTGGACGTGGTCGTGGACGTGGACGTGGACATGGCCGTGGACGTGGACGTGGACGTGGACGTGGACCTGGACGTGGACGTGGACATGGACGTGGACCTGGACGTGGTCATGGACGTGGACGTGGACGTGGACGTGGACCTGGACGTGGACGTGGACGTGGTCGTGGACGTGGACGTGGATGTGGACGTGGACGTGGTCGTGGACTTGGACGTGGACGTGGACGTGAACGTGGACCTGGAGGTGGACGTGGACGTGGACGTGGACGTGGAGGTGGTCGTGGACGTGGACGTGGACGTGGACGTGGACGTGGTCGTGGACGTGGACGTGGACGTGGACGTGGACTTGGACGTGGACGTGGACGTGGACGTGGACGTGGACGTGGACGTGGACCTGGAGGTGGAAGTGGAGATGGACGTGGACGTCGACGTGGACGTGGACGTGGACGTGGACGTGGTCGTGGACGTGGACGTGGCCGTGGACGTGGATGTGGCCATGGACGTGGACGTGGACGTTGACGTGGACGTGGACGTGGACGCGGACGTGGACGTGGACATGGACGCGGACGTGGACATGGACATGGACGTGGACATGGACATGGACGTGGACATGGACGTGGACGTGGACGTGGACATGGACGTGGACATGGACGTTGACATGGACGTGGTCGTGGACGTGGACGTGGACGTGGACGTGGACATGGACGTGGTCGTGGACGTGGACGTGGACCTGGACATGGACGTGGACGTGGACCTGGACGTGGACGTGGACGTGGTCGTGGACGTGGACGTGGACGTGGACGTGGACGTGGACATGGTCGTGGACGTGGACGTGGACGTGGACGTGGACGTGGACGTGGACGTGGTCGTGGACGTGGACGTGGACGTGGACGTGGACGTGGACAAGGACGTGGACCTGGTCGTGGACGTGGACGTGGAGGTGGACGTGGACGTGGACGTGGACGTGGACATGGACGTGGACGTGGACGTGGACGTGGACGTGGAGGATTTGGACGTCGACATGGCCGTGGACGTGGACGTGGACATGGACGTGGACGTGGACATGGACGTGGACGTGGACGTGGACGTGGACGTGGTCGTGGACGTGGACGTGGACCGTGGACGTGGACGTGGACGTGGAGGTGGACGTGGACGTGGACGTGGACGTGGAGGTGGACGTGGAGGTGGACGTGGACGTGGACGTGGACCTGGTCGTGGACGTGGACGTGGACGTGGAGGTGGACGTGGACGTGGAGGTGGAGGTGGACGTGGAGGTGGACGTGGACGTGGACGTGGACCTGGTCGTGGACGTGGACGTGGACGTGGACGTGGACGTGGTCGTGGACGTGGACGTGGACGTGGACGTGGACCTGGACGTGGACGTGGACGTGGACGTGGACCTGGAGTGGACGTGGACGGTTGACGTGGACGTGGACGTGGTCGTGGACGTGGACGTGGACGTGGTCGTGGACGTGGATGTGGACGTGGACGTGGACGTGGACGTGGACGTGGTCGTGGACGGGGACGTGGACGTGGACGTGGTCGTGGACGTGGACGTGGACGTGGACGTGGACCCGGACGTGGACGTGGACGTGGACGTGGACGTGGTCGTGGACGTGGACGTGGACGTGGTCGTGGACGTGGACGTGGACGTGGACGTGGTCGTGGACGTGGACGTGCACGTGGACGTGGACGTGGACCTGGACGTGGACGTGGACGTGGACGTGGTCGTGGACGTGGACGTGGACGTGGACGTTGACGTGGACATTGACGTGGACGTGGTCGTGGTCGTGGACGTGGACGTGGACGTGGACCTGGAGGTGGACTTGGACGTGGACGTGGACGTGGACGTGGTCGTGGACGTGGACGTGGACGTGGACGTGGACTTGGACGTGGACGTGGACTTGGACGTGGACGTGGACGTGGACGTGGACGTGGACGTGGTCGTGGACGTGGACGTGGACGTGGACGTGGACCTGGACGTGGACGTGGACGTGGACGTGGACCTGGACGTGGACGTGGACGTTGACGTGGACGTGGACGTGGTCGTGGACGTGGACGTGGACGTGGTCGTGGACGTGGATGTGGACGTGGACGTGGACGTGGACGTGGACGTGGTCGTGGACGGGGACGTGGACGTGGACGTGGTCGTGGACGTGGACGTGGACGTGGACGTGGACCCGGACGTGGACGTGGACGTGGACGTGGACGTGGACGTGGTCGTGGACGTGGACGTGGACGTGGTCGTGGACGTGGACGTGGACGTGGACGTGGTCGTGGACGTGGACGTGGACGTGGACGTGGACGTGGACCTGGACGTGGACGTGGACGTGAACGTGGTCGTGGACGTGGACGTGGACGTGGACGTGGACGTTGACGTGGACATTGACGTGGACGTGGTCGTGGTCGTGGACGTGGACGTGGACGTGGACGTGGACGTGGACCTGGAGGTGGACTTGGACGTGGACGTGGACGTGGACGTGGTCGTGGACGTGGACGTGGACGTGGACGTGGACTTGGACGTGGACGTGGACTTGGACGTGGACGTGGACGTGGACGTGGTCGTGGACGTGGACGTGGACGTGGACGTGGACCTGGACGTGGACGTGGACGTGGACGTGGACCTGGACGTGGACGTGGACGTTGACGTGGACGTGGACGTGGTCGTGGACGTGGACGTGGTCGTGGACGTGGATGTGGACGTGGACGTGGACGTGGACGTGGACGTGGTCGTGGACGGGGACGTGGACGTGGACGTGGACGTGGTCGTGGACGTGGACGTGGACGTGGACGTGGACGTGGACGTGGACCCGGACGTGGACGTGGACGTGGACGTGGACGTGGACGTGGTCGTGGACGTGGACGTGGACGTGGTCGTGGACGTGGACGTGGACGTGGACGTGGTCGTGGACGTGGACGTGACGTGGACGTGGACGTGGACGTGGACTTGGACGTGGACGTGGACGTGGACGTGGACTTGGACGTGGACGTGGACGTGGACGTGGTCGTGGACGTGGACGTGGACGTGGACGTGGACTTGGACGTGGACGTGGACTTGGACGTGGACGTGGACGTGGACGTGGTCGTGGACGTGGACGTGGACGTGGACGTGGTTCTGGACTTGGACGTGGACGTGGACTTGGACGTGGACGTAGACGTGGACGTGGTCGTGGACGTGGACGTGGACGTGGACGTGGACCTGGACGTGGACGTGGACGTGGACCTGGACGTGGACGTGGACGTTGACGTGGACGTGGACGTGGACGTGGTCGTGGACGTGGACGTGGTCGTGGACGTGGATGTGGACGTGGACGTGGACGTGGACGTGGACGTGGACGTGGTCGTGGACGGGGACGTGGACGTGGACGTGGATGTGGTCGTGGACGTGGACGTGGACGTGGACGTGGACGTGGACCCGGACGTGGACGTGGACGTCGACGTGGACGTGGACGTGGTCGTGGACGTGGACGTGGACGTGGTCGTGGACGTGGACGTGGACGTGGACGTGGTTGTGGACGTGGTCGTGGACGTGGACGTGGTCGTGGACGTGGACGTGGACGTGGACGTGGACGTGGACGTGGACTTGGACGTGGACGTGGACGTGGACGTGGTCGTGGACGTGGACGTGGACGTGGACGTGGACTTGGACGTGGACGTGGACTTGGACGTGGACGTGGACGTGGACGTGGACGTGGACGTGGTTGTGGACGTGGACGTGGACGTGGACGTGGACGTGGACGTGGACCTGGACGTGGACGTGGACGTGGACGTGGACCTGGACGTGGACGTGGACGTTGACGTGGACGTGGACGTGGTCGTGGACGTGGACGTGGACGTGGTCGTGGACGTGGATGTGGACGTGGACGTGGACGTGGACGTGGACGTGGTCGTGGACGGGGACGTGGACGTGGACGTGGACGTGGTCGTGGACGTGGACGTGGACGTGGACGTGGACGTGGACCCGGACGTGGACGTGGACGTGGACGTGGACGTGGACGTGGTCGTGGACGTGGACGTGGACGTGGTCGTGGACGTGGACGTGGACGTGGACGTGGACGTGGTCGTGGACGTGGACGTGGACGTGGACGTGGACGTGGACCTGGACGTGGACGTGGACGTGGACGTGGTCGTGGACGTGGACGTGGACGTGGACGTGGACGTGGACGTTGACGTGGACATTGACGTGGACGTGGTCGTGGACGTGGACGTGGACGTGGACGTGGACGTGGACCTGGAGGTGGACTTGGACGTGGACGTGGACGTGGACGTGGTCGTGGACGTGGACGTGGACGTGGACGTGGACGTGGACTTGGACGTGGACGTGGACTTGGACGTGGACGTGGACGTGGACGTGGTCGTGGACGTGGACGTGGACGTGGACGTGGAACAGGACGTGGACGTGGACGTGGACGTGGACCTGGACGTGGACGTGGACGTTGACGTGGACGTGGACGTGGTCGTGGACGTGGACGTGGTCGTGGACGTGGATGTGGACGTGGACGTGGACGTGGACGTGGACGTGGTCGTGGACGGGGACGTGGACGTGGACGTGGACGTGGTCGTGGACGTGGACGTGGACGTGGACGTGGACCCGGACGTGGACGTGGACGTGGACGTGGACGTGGACGTGGTCGTGGACGTGGACGTGGACGTGGTCGTGGACGTGGACGTGGACGTGGACGTGGTCGTGGACGTGGACGTGGACGTGGACGTGGACCTGGACGTGGACGTGGACGTGGACGTGGTCGTGGACGTGGACGTGGACGTGGACGTTGACGTGGACATTGACGTGGACGTGGTCGTGGTCGTGGACGTGGACGTGGACGTGGACCTGGAGGTGGACTTGGACGTGGACGTGGACGTGGTCGTGGACGTGGACGTGGACGTGGACGTGGACTTGGACGTGGACGTGGACTTGGACGTGGACGTGGACGTGGACGTGGACGTGGTCGTGGACGTGGACGTGGACGTGGACGTGGACGTGGACCTGGACGTGGACGTGGACGTGGACGGGGACCTGGACGTGGACGTGGACGTTGACGTGGACGTGGACGTGGTCGTGGACGTGGACGTGGACGTGGACGTCGACTTGGACGTGGACGTGGACATGGACGTGGACGTGGACGTGGACGTGGAAGTGGACGTGGACGTGGACGTGGACGTGGACGTGGACATGGACGTGGACGTGGACGTGGACGTGGACGTGGACGTGGACGTGGACGGGGACGTGGACGTTGTCGTGGACGTGGTCGTGGACCTTGACGTGGACGTGGACGTGGACGTGGACGTGGTCGTGGACGTGGACGTGGACGTGGACGTGGTCGTGGACGTGGACGTGGACGTGGACGTGGACGTGGACCTGGACGTGGACGGGGACGTGGACGTGGACGTGGACGTGGACGTGGACCTGGACGTTGACGGGGACGTGGACGTGGTCGTGGACGTGGTCGTGGACCTTGACGTGGACGTGGACGTGGACGTGGACGTGGACGTGGACGGGGACGTGGACGTGGTCGTGGATATGGACGTGGACCTGGACGTTGACGGGGACGTGGACGTGGACGTGGACGTGGACCTGGACGTTGACGGGGACGTGGACGTGGTCGTGGACGTGGTCGTGGACCTTGACGTGGACGTGGACGTGGACGTGGACATGGACGTGGACGTGGACGGGGACGTGGACGTGGACGTGGACGTGGACCTGGACGTGGACGGGGACGTGGACGTTGTCGTGGACGTGGTCGTGGACCTTGACGTGGACGTGGACGTGGACGTGGACGTGGTCGTGGACGTGGACGTGGACGTGGACGTGGACGGGGACGTGGACGTGGTCGTGGACGTGGACGTGGACGTGGACGTAGACGTGGACCTGGACGTGGACGGGGACGTGGACGTGGACGTGGACGTGGACGTGGACCTGGACGTGGACGGGGACATGGACGTGGTCGTGGACGTGGTCGTGGACCTTGACGTGGACGTGGACGTGGACGTGGACGTGGTCGTGGACGTGGACGTGGACGTGGTCGTGGACGTGGACGTGGACGTGGACGTGGACGTGGACGTGGTCGTAGACGGGGACGTGGACGTGGACGTGGACGTGGTCGTGGACGTGGACGTGGACGTGGACGTGGAGGTGGAGGTAGACGTGGACGTGGACGTGGACGTGGACGTGGACGTGGACGTGGACATGAAAGTGGACGTGGACGTGGACGTGGACGTGGACGTGGACGTGGACGTGGACATGGACGTGGACGTGGACGTGGATGTGGACATGGACGTGGACATGGACGTGGACATGGATGTTGACGTGGACATGGACGTGGACGTGGACGTGGACGTAGACATGGACATGGACGTGGACGTGGACGTGGACGTGGACATGGACGTGGACGTGGACATGGACGTGGAAGTGGACGTGGACGTGGACATGGACCGGACGTGGACGTGGACGTGGTCGTGGACGTGGACGTGGTCGTGGACGTGGAGGACGTGGACCTGGACGTGGACGTGGACGTGGAGATGGAGGTGGACGTGGACGTGGACGTGGACGTGGTCGTGGACGTGGACGTGGACGTGGAGGTGGACGTGGACGTGGACGTGGACGTGGACGCGGACGTGGACGTGGTCGTGGACGTGGACGTGGACGCGGACGTGGACGTGGTCGTGGACGTGGTCGTGGACGCGGACGTGGACGCGGACGTGGACGTGGACGTGGTCGTGGACGTGGAGGACGTGGACATGGACGTGGACGTGGACGTGGAGATGGACGTGGACGTGGAGATGGACGTGGACGTGGACGTGGACGTGGTCGTGGACGTGGACGTGGAGGTGGACGTGGAGATGGACGTGGACGTGGACGTGGACGTGGACGTGGTCGTGGACGTGGACGTGGACGTGGACGCGGACGTGGACGTGGTCGTGGACGTGGACGTGGACGTGGACGTGGTCGTGGACGTGGAGGACGTGGACATGGACGCGGACGTGGACGTGGAGATGGACGTGGACGTGGAGATGGACGTGGACGTGGTCGTGGACGTGGACGTGGACGTGGAGGTGGACGTGGAGATGGACGTGGACGTGGACGTGGACGTGGACGTGGTCGTGGACGTGGACGTGGACGTGGACGTGGACGCGAACGTGGACGTGGTCGTGGACGTGGACGCGGACGTGGACGTGGACGTGGACGTGGACGTGGTCGTGGACGTGGAGGACGTGGACATGGACGTGGACGTGGACGTGGAGATGGACGTGGACGTGGAGATGGACGTGGACGTGGACGTGGACGTGGTCGTGGACGTGGACGTGGACGTGGAGGTGGACGTGGAGATGGACGTGGACGTGGACGTGGACGTGGACGTGGTCGTGGACGTGGACGTGGACGTGGACCTGGACATGGACGTGGACCTGGACCTGGACGTGGACGTGGTCGTGGACGTGGACGTGGACGTGGACGTGGACGTGGACATGGACGTGGACGTGGACGTGGACGTGGACGTGGACGTGGACGTGGTCGTGGACGAGGTCGTGGACGTGGACGTGGACGTGGACGTGGACATAGACGTGGACGTGGACGTGGACGTGGATGTGGACCTGGACGTGGACGTGGACGTGGTCGTGGACGTGGACGTGGACGTGGACGTGGACGTGGACATTGACGTGGACGTGGTCGTGGACGTGGTCGTGGTCCTGGACGTGGACGTGGACGTGGACGTGGACGTGGACCTGGAGGTGGACGTGGACGTGGACGTGGACGTGGTCGTGGACGTGGACGTGGACGTGGACGTGGACTTGGACGTGGACGTGGACATGGACGTGGACGTGGACGTGGAAGTGGACGTGGACGTGGACGTGGACGTGGACGTGGACATGGACGTGGACGTGGACGTGGACGTGGACCTGGACGTGGACGGGGACGTGGACGTTGTCGTGGACGTGGTCGTGGACCTTGACGTGGACGTGGACGTGGACGTGGACGTCGTCGTGGACGTGGACGTGGACGTGGACGTGGACGTGGTCGTGGACGTGGACGTGGACGTGGACGTGGACGTGGACCTGGACGTGGACGGGGACGTGGACGTGGACGTGGACGTGGACGTGGACGTGGACCTGGACGTTGACGGGGACGTGGACGTGGTCGTGGACGTGGTCGTGGACCTTGACGTGGACGTGGACGTGGACGTGGACGTGGACGGGGACGTGGACGTGGTCGTGGACATGGACGTGGACCTGGACGTGGACGGGGACGTGGACGTGGACGTGGACGTGGACCTGGACGTTGACGGGGACGTGGACGTGGTCGTGGACGTGGTCGTGGACCTTGACGTGGACGTGGACGTGGACGTGGACGTGGACGTGGACGGGGACGTGGACGTGGACGTGGACCTGGACGTGGACGGGGACGTGGACGTTGTCGTGGACGTGGTCGTGGACCTTGACGTGGACGTGGACGTGGACGTGGACGTGGTCGTGGACGTGGACGTGGACGTGGACGTGGACGTGGACGGGGACGTGGACGTGGTCGTGGACGTGGACGTGGACCTGGACGTGGACGTGGACGTGGACCTGGACGTGGACGGGGACGTGGACGTGGACGTGGACGTGGACGTGGACCTGGACGTGGACGGGGACGTGGACGTGGTCGTGGACGTGGTCGTGGACCTTGACGTGGACGTGGACGTGGACGTGGACGTGGTCGTGGACGTGGACGTGGACGTGGACGTGGTCGTGGACGTGGACGTGGACGTGGACGTGGACGTGGTCGTAGACGGGGACGTGGACGTGGACGTGGACGTGGTCGTGGACGTGGACGTGGACGTGGACGTGGACGTGGTCGTGGACGTGGACGTGGACGTGGACGTAGATGTGGACCTGGACGTGGACGTGGACGTGGTCGTGGACGTGGACGTGGACGTGGACGTGGACATTGACGTGGACGTGGTCGTGGACGTGGTCGTGGTCGTGGACGTGGACGTGGACGTGGACCTGGAGGTGGACGTGGACGTGGACGTGGACGTGGTCGTGGACGTGGACGTGGACGTGGACGTGGACTTGGACGTGGACGTGGACGTGGACTTGGACGTGGACGTGGACGTGGACGTGGACGTGGACGTGGACGTGGTCGTGGACATGGACGTGGACCTGGACGTGGACGTGGAGGTGGACGTGGACGTGGACTTGGACGTGGACGTGGACGTGGAGATGGACGTGGATGTGGACGTGGACGTGGACGTGGACATGGACGTGGACGTGGACGTGGACGTGGACATGGACGTGGACGTGGACATGGACATGGACGTGAACATGGACATGGACGTGGACATGGACGTGGACGTGGACGTGTACATGGACGTGGACGTGGACATGGACGTGGACATGGATGTTGACATGGACGTGGTCGTGGACGTGGACGTGGACGTGGACGTGGACATGGACGTGGTCGTGGACGTGGACGTGGACCTGGACATGGACGTGGACGTGGACCTGGACGTGGACGTGGACGTGGTCGTGGACGTGGACGTGGACGTGGACGTGGACGTGGACGTGGACATGGACGTGGACGTGGACGTGGACGTGGACGTGGACCTGGACGTGGACGTGGACGTGGACGTGGACGTGGACGTGGTCGTGGACGTGGACGTGGACGTGGACAAGGACGTGGACCTGGTCGTGGACGTGGACGTGGACGTGGACGTGGACGTGGACGTGGACGTGGACCTGGACGTGGTCGTGGACGTGGACGTGGACGTGGACGTGAACGTGGACGTGGACGTGGACGTGGACGTGGACATGGACGTGGACGTGGACGTGGACGTAGACGTGGTCGTGGACGTGGACGTGGACGTGGACATGGACGTGGACGTGGACGTGGACGTGGACGTGGACCTGGTCGTGGACGTGGACGTGGATGTGGACGTGGACGTGGACGTCGACATGGACGTGGACGTGGACGTGGACGTGGACGTGGACGTGGACATGGACGTGGACGTGGACGTGGACCTGGACGTGGACGTGGACGTGGACGTGGACGTGGACGTGGACGTGGACATAGACGTGGACGTGGACGTGGACGTGGAGGTGGACGTGGAGGTGGAGGTGGACGTGGACGTGGACGTGGACGTGGACGTGGACGAGGACGTAGACGTGGACGTGGACGAGGACGTGGACATGGACGAGGATTTGGACGTGGACGTGGACGTGGACGTGGACGTGGACGTGGACGTGGACGTGAACGTGGACGTGGACGTGGACGTGGACATGGACGTGGACGTGGACGTGGACGTGGACGTGGACGTGGACGTGGACGTGGACGTGGACGTGGACATGGTCGTGGACGTGGACGTGGACGAGGACATGGACGTAGAGGTGGACGTGGACGTGGACGTGGACGTGGACGTGGAGGTGGAGGTGGACGTGGACGTGGACGTGGACGTGGACGTGGACATAGAAGTGGACGTGGACGTGGACGTGGACGTGGACGTGGACGTGGACATGGACGTGGACGTGGACGTGGATGTGGACATGGACGTGGACATGGACGTGGACATGGACGTTGACGTGGACATGGACGTGGACGTGGACGTTGACGTGGACATTGACGTGGACGTGGACGTGGACGTGGACATGGTCGTGGACGTAGACGTGGACGTGGACGTGGACGTGGACGTGGACATGGACGTGGACATGGACATGGACGTGGAAGTGGACGTGGACATGGACGTGGACGTGGACATGGACGTGGACGTGGACGTGGACGTGGACATGGACCGGACGTGGACGTGGACGTGGTCGTGGACGTGGACGTGGTCGTGGACGTGGAGGACGTGGACCTGGACGTGGACGTGGACGTGGAGATGGAGGTGGACGTGGACGTGGACGTGGACGTGGTCGTGGACGTGGACGTGGACGTGGAGGTGGACGTGGACGTGGACGTGGACGTGGACGTGGACGCGGACGTGGACGTGGTCGTGGACGTGGACGTGGACGCGGACGTGGACGTGGTCGTGGACGTGGTCGTGGACGCGGACGTGGACGCGGACGTGGACGTGGTCGTGGACGTGGAGGACGTGGACATGGACGTGGACATGGACGTGGAGATGGACGTGGACGTGGAGATGGACGTGGACGTGGACGTGGTCGTGGACGTGGACGTGGAGGTGGACGTGGAGATGGACGTGGACGTGGACGTGGACGTGGTCGTGGACGTAGACGTGGACGTGGACGCGGACGTGGACGTGGTCGTGGACGTGGACGTGGACGTGGACGTGGTCGTGGACGTGGAGGACGTGGACATGGACGCGGACGTGGACGTGGAGATGGACGTGGACGTGGAGATGGACGTGGACGTGGACGTGGTCGTGGACGTGGACGTGGACGTGGAGGTGGACGTGGAGATGGACGTGGACGTGGACGTGGACGTGGTCGTGGACGTGGACGTGGACGTGGACGTGGACGCGAACGTGGACGTGGTCGTGGACGTGGACGCGGACGTGGACGTGGACGTGGACGTGGTCGTGGACGTGGAGGACGTGGACATGGACGTGGACGTGGACGTGGAGATGGACGTGGACGTGGAGATGGACGTGGACGTGGACGTGGACGTGGTCGTGGACGTGGACGTGGACGTGGAGGTGGACGTGGAGATGGACGTGGACGTGGACGTGGACGTGGACGTGGTCGTGGACGTGGACGTGGACGTGGACCTGGACATGGACGTGGACCTGGACCTGGACGTGGACGTGGACGTGGTCGTGGACGTGGACGTGGACGTGGACGTGGACATGGTCGTGGACGTGGACGTGGACGTGGACGTGGACGTGGACGTGGACGTGGTCGTGGACGTGGACGTGGACGTGGACGTGGACGTGGACAAGGACGTGGACCTGGTCGTGGACGTGGACGTGGAGGTGGACGTGGACGTGGACGTGGACGTGGACATGGACGTGGACGTGGACGTGGACGTGGACGTGGACGTGGAGGACTTGGACGTGGACATGGCCGTGGACGTGGACATGGACATGGCCGTGGACGTGGGCTTGGACGTGGACGTGGACATGGACGTGGACGTGGACGTGGACGTGGACGTGGACATGGACGTGGACATGGTCGTGGACGTGGACGTGGACGTGGACGTGGACGTGGACGTGGACGTGGACGTGGACGTGGAGGTGGACGTGGACGTGGACGTGGAGGTGGAGGTGGACGTGGAGGTGGACGTGGACGTGGACGTGGACCTGGTCGTGGACGTGGACGTGGACGTGGACGTAGACGTGGACGTGGACGTGGACGTGGTCGTGGACGTGGACGTGGACGTGGACCTGGACGTGGACGTGGACGTGGACCTGGACGTGGACGTGGACGTGGTCGTGGACGTGGACGTGGACGTGGACGTGGACGTGGACTTGGACGTGGAGGTGGACGTGGACGTGGACGTGGACGTGAACGTGGACGTGGACGTGGACCTGGACGTGGACGTGGACGTGGACGTGGACGTGGTCGTGGACGTGGACGTGGACAAGGACGTGGACCTGGTCGTGGACGTGAACGTGGACGTGGACGTGGACGTGAACGTGGACATGGACGTGGACATGGACGTGGTCGTGGACGTGGACGTGGACGTGGACGTGGACCAGGACGTGGACGTGGACGTGGACGTGGACGTGGACGTGGACGTGGACATGGACGTGGACGTGGACGTGGACGTGGACGTGGACGTGGTCGTGGACGTGGACGTGGACATGGACGTGGACGTAGACGTGGACGTGGACAAGGACGTGGACCTGGTCGTAGACGTGGACGTGGATGTGGACGTGGACGTGGACGTGGACATGGACGTGGACGTGGACGTGGACGTGGAGGACTTGGACGTGGACATGGCCGTGGACGTGGACCTGGACATGACCGTGGACGTGGACATGGACGTGGACATGGACGTGGACGCGGACGTGGACGTGGACATGGGCGGGACATGGTCGTGGATGTGGTCGTGGACGTGGTCGTGGACGTGGACGTGGACGTGGACATGGACATGGACGTGGACGTGGACGTGGACGTGGACATGGTCGTGGACGTGGACGTGGATGTGGACGTGGACGTGGACGTGGACGTGGAGGTGGACGTGGACGTGGACGTGGAGGTGGAGGTGGAGGTGGAGGTGGAGGTGGACGTGGACATGCTCGTGGACGTGGACGTGGACGTGGACGTGGACGTGGACGTGGACGTGGACATGGACGTGGACGTGGACGTGGACGTGGACGTGGACGTGGTCGTGGACGTGGACGTGGACATTGACGTGGACGTGGTCGTGGACGTGGACGTGGACGTGGACGTGGACATGGACGTGGATGGCACGTGGACGTGGACGTGGACGTGGACGAGGACGTGGACGTGGCCGTGGACGTGGTCATGGACGTGGTCGTGGACGTGGACGTGGACGTGGACGTGGACGTGGACGTAGACGTGGACGCGGACGTGGACGTGGACGTGGACGTTGACGTGGACGTGGTCGTGGACGTGGACGTGGAAGTGGACAAGGACGTGGACCTGGTCGTGGACGTGGACCTGGACATGGACGTGGACGTGGACATGGACGTGGACGTGGACGTGGACATGGACGTGGACGTGGACGTGGACATGGACGTGGTCGTGGACGTCGACGTGGACGTGGACGTGGCCATGGACGTGGTCGTGGACGTGGACGTGGACCTGGACATGGACGTGGACGTGGACGTGGTCGTGGACGTGGACGTGGACCTGGTCGTGGACGTGGACGTGGTCGTGGACGTGGACGTGGACGTGGACGTGGACGTGGACGTGGAGGTGGACGTGGACGTGGACGTGGACGTGAACGTGGACGTGGACGTGGACCTGGACGTGGACGTGGACGTGGACGTGGACGTGGTCGTGGACGTGGACGTGGACAAGGACGTGGACCTGGTCGTGGACGTGAACGTGGACGTGGACGTGGACGTGAACGTGGACATGGACGTGGACATGGACGTGGTCGTGGACGTGGACGTGGACGTGGACGTGGACCAGGACGTGGACGTGGACGTGGACGTGGACGTGGACGTGGACATGGACGTGGACGTGGACGTGGACGTGGACGTGGTCGTGGACGTGGACGTGGACATGGACGTGGACGTAGACGTGGACGTGGACAAGGACGTGGACCTGGTCGTAGACGTGGACGTGGATGTGGACGTGGACGTGGACGTGGACATGGACGTGGACGTGGACGTGGACGTGGACGTAGAGGACTTGGACGTGGACATGGCCGTGGACGTGGACCTGGACATGACCGTGGACGTGGACATGGACGTGGACATGGACGTGGACGCGGACGTGGACGTGGACATGGGCGGGACATGGTCGTGGACGTGGTCGTGGACGTGGTCGTGGACGTGGACGTGGACGTGGACGTGGACGTGGACATGGACGTGGACGTGGACGTGGACGTGGACATGGTCGTGGACGTGGACGTGGATGTGGACGTGGACGTGGACGTGGACGTGGAGGTGGACGTGGACGTGGACGTGGAGGTGGAGGTGGAGGTGGAGGTGGAGGTGGACGTGGACATGCTCGTGGACGTGGACGTGGACGTGGACGTGGACGTGGACGTGGACATGGACGTGGACGTGGACGTGGACGTGGACGTGGACGTGGTCGTGGACGTGGACGTGGACATTGACGTGGACGTGGTCGTGGACGTGGACGTGGACGTGGACGTGGACATGGACGTGGATGGCACGTGGACGTGGACGTGGACGTGGACGAGGACGTGGACGTGGCCGTGGACGTGGTCATGGACGTGGTCGTGGACGTGGACGTGGACGTGGACGTGGACGTGGACGTAGACGTGGACGCGGACGTGGACGTGGACGTGGACGTTGACGTGGACGTGGTCGTGGACGTGGACGTGGAAGTGGACAAGGACGTGGACCTGGTCGTGGACGTGGACCTGGACATGGACGTGGACGTGGACATGGACGTGGACGTGGACGTGGACATGGACGTGGACGTGGACGTGGACATGGACGTGGTCGTGGACGTCGACGTGGACGTGGACGTGGCCATGGACGTGGTCGTGGACGTGGACGTGGACCTGGACATGGACGTGGACGTGGACGTGGTCGTGGACGTGGACGTGGACCTGGTCGTGGACGTGGACGTGGATGTGGACGTGGACGTAGACATGGACGTGGACAAGGACGTGGACCTGGTCGTGGACGTGGTCGTGGACGTGGACGTGGACGTGGACGTGGACAAGGACGTGGACCTGGTCGTGGACGTGGACGTGGATGTGGACGTGGACGTGGACGTGGACGTGGACATGGACATGGAGGTGGACGTGGACGTGGTCGTGGACGTGGACGTGGAGGACTTGGACGTGGACGTGGAGATGGACGTGGACGTGGACGTAGAGGTGGACATGGACATGGACGTAGAGGTGGACGTGGACGTGGACGTGGACGTGGAGGTGGACGTGGACGTGGACGTGGACATGGACGTGGACGTGGACGTGGACGTGGTCGTGGACGTGGACGTGGTCGTGGACGTGGATGTGGACGTGGACGTGGACGTGGTCGTGGACGTGGACGTGGACGTGGACGTGGACGTGGAGGTGGACGTGGACGTGGACGTGGCCGTGGACGTGGACGTACGTGGACGTGGCCGTGGACGTGGACGTGGACGTGGACATGGACGTGGACGTGGACGTGGACATGGACGTGGACGTGGACGTGGACGTGGACTTTGACGTGGACGTAGACGTGGCCGTGGACGTGGCCGTGGACGTGGACGTGGCCGTGGACGTGGCCGTGGACGTGGCCGTGGACGAGGACGTGGACGTTGACGTGGACATGGACGTGGACGTGGACGTGGACATGGCCGTGGACATGGACATGGACGTGGACGTGGACGTGGACGTGGACATGGACGTGGACGTGGACGTGGACGTTGACGTGGACGTTGACGTGGACATGGACGTAGACGTGGATGTGGACATGGACGTGGACGTGGACGTGGACGTGGCCGTGGACGTGGCCGTGGACGTGGACGTGGACGTGGACGTGGACGTGGCTGTGGACGTGGCCGTGGACGTGGCCGTGGACGTGGCCGTGGACGTGGACGTGGACGTGGACATGGCCGTGGACGTGGACGTGGACGTGGCCGTGGACCTGGACGAAGACGTGGACGTGGACATGGACGTGGATGTGGACGTGGACGTGGACGTGGACATAGACGTGGACGTGGACGTGGACGTGGACATAGACGTGGACGTGGACGTGGACGTGGACGTGGACTTTGACGTAGACGTGGACGTGGACGTGGACGTGGACGTGGACATGGACGTGGTCGTGGACGTGGACGTGGACGTGGACGTCGACATGGACGTGGACGTGGACGTGTACGTGGACGTGGCCGTGGACGAGGACGTGGACGTGGACGTGGACGTGAACGTGGACGTGGACGTGGACATAGACGTAGACGTGGACGTGGACGTGGACGTGGACTTGGACGTAGACGTGGACGTGGACGTGGACGTGGACGTGGACATGGACGTGGTCGTGGACGTGGACGTGGACGTGGACGTGGACGTGGACATGGTCGTGGACATGGACGTGGACGTGGACTTGGACGTGGACATGGACGTGGACATGGACATGGACGTGGACATGGACGTGGACGTGGACGTGGACGTGGACGTGGACGTCGACGTGGACGTAGACATGGACGTTGTCATGGACGTGGACGTGGACGTGGACATGGACGTGGTCGTGGACGTGGACGTGGACCTGGACATGGACGTGGACGTGGACGTGGATGTGGACCTGGACGTGGACGTGGACGTGGACGTGGACGTGGACGTGGACGTGGACATGGACGTGGACGTAAACATGGACGTGGACGTGGACGTGGACGTGGTCGTGGACGTGGACGTGGACGTGGACGTGGACATGGACGTGGTCGTGGGCGTGGACGTGGACATGGACGTGGACGTGGACGTGGTTGTGGACGTGGACGTGGACCTGGATGTGGACGTGGACGTGGACGTGGACGTGGACTTGGACGTGGACGTGGACGTGGACTTGGACGTGGACGTGGACATGGACGTGGACATGGACGTGGACGTGGACATGGACGTGGACGTGGACGTGGACGTGGACGTGGACGTGGACATGGACATGGACGTGGTCGTGGACGTGGACGTGGACATGGACGTGGTCGTGGACGTGGACGTGGACGTGGACGTGGACATGGACGTGGACGTGGACATGGACGTGGACATGGACGTGGACGTGGACATGGACGTGGACGTGGACGTGGACGTGGACGTGGTCGTGGACGTGGACGTGGACATGGACGTGGTCGTGGACGTGGACGTGGACATGGACGTGGACGTGGACGTGGACATGGACGTGGACATGGACATGGACGTGGACGTGGACGTGGACGTGAACATGGACGTGGACGTGGACGTCGACGTGGACATGGACATGGACGTGGACATGGACGTGGTCGTGGACGTGGACGTGGACGTGGACATGGACGTGGTCGTGGACGTGGACGTGGACCTGGACATGGACGTGGACGTGGACGTGGACGTGGACCTGGACGTGGACCTGGACGTGGACGTGGACGTGGACATGGACGTGGAGGTGGACGTGGACGTGGACTTGGACGTGGACGTGGACGTGGAGGTGGACGTGGAGGTGGACGTGGAGGTGGACGTGGAGGTGGAGATGGACGTGGACGTGGACGTGGACGTGGACATGGACGTGGACGTGGACCTGGACATGGACGTGGACGTGGACGTGGATGTGGACATGGCCATAGACGTGGAGGTGGACGTGGAGGTGGACATGGACGTGGACGTGGACGTGGACGTGGACATGGACGTGGACGTGGACGTGGACGTGGATGTGGACATGGCCGTGGACATGGACGTGGACGTGGACGTGGACATGGACGTGGACATGGACATGGACGTGGACATGGACGTGGACGTGGACATGGACGTGGACGTGGACGTGGACGTGGACATGGACGTGGACATAGACGTGGACATGGACATAGACGTGGACGTGGACATGGACGTGGACATGGACGTGGACATGGATGTGGACGTGGACATGGACGTGGACATGGACGTGGACATGGACACGGACGTGGACGTGGACATAGACGTGGACGTGGACGCAAAATTGCAAAAACAAGGGCCTTGCGAGTGCAAAATTGCAAGAGCAAGGGCGTAGCGTGTGCAAAAACTCTAGAACAAGGGCCTAGCGTTCGCGAAATAGCAAGAACAAGGGCCTAGCGTGTGCAAAGTTGCAAGAACAAGGGCCTTGTATGTGCAAAATGGCAAGAACAGGGGCCTAGAGTGTGCAAAATAGCAAGAACAAGGGTCTAGCGAGTGCAAAATTGCAAGAACAAGGGCCTAGCGTGTGCAAAATAAAAAGAACAAGGGCATAGCGTGTGCAAAATAGCAAGAACAAGGGCCTAGCGTGTGCAAAATAAAAAGAACAAGGGCCTAGCATGTGCAAAATAAGAAGAACAAGGGCCTAGCGTGTGCAAAAAAAAAAAGAACAACGACCTAGCGTGTGCAAAATAGCAAAAACAACAGCCTAGTGTGTGCAAAATAAAAAGAACAAGGGCCTAGCGTGTGCAAAATATAAAGAACAAAGGCCTAACGTGTGCAAAATAGCAACAACAAGTGCCTAGAGTGTGCAGAATTGCAAGAACAAGGGCCTAGCGAGTGCAAAATTGCAAGAGCAAGGGCCTAGCGTGTGCAAAAAATCAAGATTAAGGGCCTAGCGTTTGCGAAATAGCAAGAACAAGGGCCTAGCGTGTGCAAAATTGCAAGAACAAACGTCTAGTGTGTGCAAAATTGCAAGAACAAGGGCCTAGCGTGTGCAAAATAAAAAGAACAAGGGCATAGCGTGTGCAAAATAGCAAGAACAAGGGCCTAGCATGTGCAAAATAAAAAGAACTAGGGCCTAGCGTGTGCAAAATAAAAAGAACAACGGCCTAGCGTGTGCAAAATTGCAAGAACAAGGGCCTAGCGTGTGCTAAATTGCAAGAACAAGGGCATAGCGAGTGCAAAATAGCAAGAGCAAGGGCCTAGCATGTGCAGAAAATCAAGAACAAGGGCCTAGCGTTTGCGAAATAGCAAGTACAAGGGCCTAGTGTGTGCAAAATTGCAAGAACAAGGGCCTAGTATGTGCAAAATGGCACGAACAAGGGCCTAGAGTGTGCAAAATAGCAAGAACAAGGGTCTAGCGAGTGCAAAATTGCAAGAACAAGGGCCTAGCGTGTGCAAAAAAAAAAGAACAAGGGCACAGCGTGTGCAAAATAGCAAGAACAAGGGCCTAGTGTGTGCAAAATAAAAAGAACAAGGGCCTAGCGTGTGCAAAATATAAAGAACAAGGGCCTAGCGTGCGCAAAATAGGAAGAACAAGGGGCTAGATTGTGCAGAATTGCAAGAACAAGGGCCTAGCGAGTGCAAAATTGCAAGAGCAAGGGCCTTGCGTGTGCAAAAAATCAAGAACAAGGGCCTAGCGTTTGCGAAATAGCAAGAACAAGGGCCTAGCGAGTGCAAAATAGCAAGAGCAAGGGCCTAGCGTGTGCAAAAAATCAAGAACAAGTGCCTAGCCTTTGCGAAATTGCAAGAACAAGGGCCTAGCGTGTGCAAAATTGCAAGAACAAGGGTCTAGCGTGTGCAAAATTGCAAGAACAAGGGCCTAGCGTGTGCAAAATAAAAAGAACAAGGGCATAGCGTGTGCAAAATAGCAAGAACAGGGGCCTAGCGTGTGCAAAATAAAAAGAACAAGGGCCTAGCGTGTGCAAAATAAAAAGAAAAAGGGCCTAGCGAGTGCAAAATTGCAAGAACAAGGGCATAGCGTGTGCAAAAAATCAAGAACAAGGGCCTAGCGTTTGCGAAATAGCAAGAACAAGGGCCTAGCGTGTGCAAAATTGCAAGAACAAGGGTCTAGCGTGTGCAAAATAGCAAGAACAAGGGCCTAGCGTGTGCAAAATTGCAAGAACAAGGGCATAGCAAGTGCAAAATAGCAAGAGCAAGGGCCTAGCGTGTGCAGAAAATCAAGAACAAGGGCCTAGCGTTCGCGAAATAGCAAGAACAAGGGCCTAGCGTGTGCAAAATTGCAAGAACAAGGGCCTAGTATGTGCAAAATGGCAAGAACAAGGGCCTAGAGTGTGCAAAATAGCAAGAACAAGGGTCTAGCGAGTGCAAAATTGCAAGAACAAGGGCCTAGTGTGTGCAAATTAAAAAGAACAAGGGCATAACGTGTGCAAAATAGCAAGAACAAGGGCCTAGCATGTGCAAAATAAAAATAACAAGGGCCTAGCGTGTGCAAAATAAAAAAAAGAAGGGCCTAGCGTGTGCAAAATTGCAAGAACAAGGGCCTAGCGTGTGCAAAATTGCAAAAACAAGGGCCTTGCGAGTGCAAAATTGCAAGAGCAAGGGCCTAGCGTGTGCAAAAACTCAAGAACAAGGGCCTAGCGTTCGCGAAATAGCAAGAACAAGGGCCTAGCGTGTGCAAAATTGCAAGAACAAGGGCCTAGTATGTGCAAAATGGCAAGAACAAGGGCCTAGAGTGTGCAAAATAGCAAGAACAAGGGTCTAGCGAGTGCAAAATTGCAGGAACAAGGGCCTAGCGTGTGCAAAATAAAAAGAACAAGAGCATAACGTGTGCAAAATAGCAAGAACAAGGGCCTAGCGTGTGCAAAATAAAAAGAACAAGGGCCTAGCATGTGCAAAATAAAAAGAACAAGGGCCTAGCTTGTGCAAAAAAAAAAGAACAAGGGCCTAGCGTGTGCAAAATAGCAAAAACAACGGCCTAGCTTGTGCAAAATAAAAAGAACAAGGGCCTAGAGTGTGCAAAATAGCAAGAACAAGGGTCTAGCGAGTGCAAAATTGCAAGAACAAGGGCCTAGTGTGTGCAAAAAAAAAAGAACAAGGGCACAGCGTGTGCAAAATAGCAAGAACAAGGGCCTAGTGTGTGCAAAATAAAAAGAACAAGGGCCTAGCGTGTGCAAAATATAAAGAACAAGGGCCTAGCGTGCGCAAAATAGGAAGAACAAGGGGCTAGATTGTGCAGAATTGCAAGAACAAGGGCCTAGCGAGTGTAAAATTGCAAGAGCAAGGGCCTTGCGTGTGCAAAAAATCAAGAACAAGGGCCTAGCGTTTGCGAAATAGCAAGAACAAGGGCCTAGCGAGTGCAAAATAGCAAGAGCAAGGGCCTAGCGTGTGCAAAAAATCAAGAACAAGTGCCTAGCCTTTGCGAAATTGCAAGAACAAGGGCCTAGCGTGTGCAAAATTGCAAGAACAAGGGTCTAGCGTGTGCAAAATTGCAAGAACAAGGGCCTAGCGTGTGCAAAATAAAAAGAACAAGGGCATAGCGTGTGCAAAATAGCAAGAACAGGGGCCTAGCGTGTGCAAAATAAAAAGAACAAGGGCCTAGCGTGTGCAAAATAAAAAGAAAAAGGGCCTAGCGAGTGCAAAATTGCAAGAACAAGGGCCTAGCGTGTGCAAAAAATCAAGAACAAGGGCCTAGCGTTTGCGAAATAGCAAGAACAAGGGCCTAGCGTGTGCAAAATTGCAAGAACAAGGGTCTAGTGTGTGCAAAATTGCAAGAACAAGGGCCTAGCGTGTGCAAAAAAAAAAGAACAAGGGCATAGCATGTGCAAAATAGCAAGAACAAGGGCCTAGCATGTGCAAAATAAAAAGAACAAGGGCCTAGCGTGTGCAAAAAAAAAACGAACAACGGCCCAGCGTGTGCAAAATTGCAAGAACAAGGGCCTAGCGTGTGCAAAATTGCAAGAACAAGGGCATAGCGAGTGCAAAATAGCAAGAGCAAGGGCCTAGCGTGTGCAGAAAATCAAGAACAAGGGCCTAGCGTTCGCGAAATAGCAAGAACAAGGGCCTAGCGTGTGCAAAATTGCAAGAACAAGGGCCTAGTATGTGCAAAATGGCAAGAACAAGGGCCTAGAGTGTGCAAAATAGCAAGAACAAGGGTCTAGCGAGTGCAAAATTGCAAGAACAAGGGCCTAGTGTGTGCAAATTAAAAAGAACAAGGGCATAACGTGTGCAAAATAGCAAGAACAAGGGCCTAGCGTGTGCAAAATAAAAATAACAAGGGCCTAGCGTGTGCAAAATAAAAAAAAGAAGGGCCTAGCGTGTGCAAAATTGCAAGAACAAGGGCCTAGTGTGTGCAAAATTGCAAAAACAAGGGCCTTGCGAGTGCAAATTTGCAAGAGCAAGGGCCTAGCGTGTGCAAAAACTCAAGAACAAGGGCCTAGCGTTCGCGAAATAGCAAGAACAAGGGCCTAGCGTGTGCAAAATTGCAAGAACAAGGGCCTAGTATGTGCAAAATTGCAAGAACAAGGGCCTAGAGTGTGCAAAATAGCAAGAACAAGGGTCTAGCGAGTGCAAAATTGCAAGAACAAGGGCCTAGCGTGTGCAAAATAAAAAGAACAAGAGCATAGCGTGTGCAAAATAGCAAGAACAAGGGCCTAGCGTGTGCAAAATAAAAAGAACAAGGGCCTAGCATGTGCAAAATAAAAAGAACAAGGGCCTAGCTTGTGCAAAAAAAAAAGAACAAGGGCCTAGCGTGTGCAAAATAGCAAAAACAACGGCCTAGCTTGTGCAAAATAAAAAGAACAAGGGCCTAGAGTGTGCAAAATAGCAAGAACAAGGGTCTAGCGAGTGCAAAATTGCAAGAACAAGGGCCTAGCGTGTGCAAAAAAAAAAGAACAAGGGCACAGCGTGTGCAAAATAGCAAGAACAAGGGCCTAGTGTGTGCAAAATATAAAGAACAAGGGCCTAGCGTGTGCAAAATATAAAGAACAAGGGCCTAGCGTGCGCAAAATAGGAAGAACAAGGGGCTAGATTGTGCAGAATTGCAAGAACAAGGGCCTAGCGAGTGCAAAATTGCAAGAGCAAGGGCCTTGCGTGTGCAAAAAATCAAGAACAAGGGCCTAGCGTTTGCGAAATAGCAAGAACAAGGGCCTAGCGAGTGCAAAATAGCAAGAGCAAGGGCCTAGCGTGTGCAAAAAATCAAGAACAAGTGCCTAGCCTTTGCGAAATTGCAAGAACAAGGGCCTAGCGTGTGCAAAATTGCAAGAACAAGGGTCTAGCGTGTGCAAAATTGCAAGAACAAGGGCCTAGCGTGTGCAAAATAAAAAGAACAAGGGCATAGCGTGTGCAAAATAGCAAGAACAGGGGCCTAGCGTGTGC